CAACACAACAGCTACAACTCCCAGGGGTGCGTGAAATCCTTGCAGCATCGGTGCAGTAGAGGGTTGTCATTCAGCCATTCTCTTTTTACATCCACTCAAGCTTGAGTGAGGACACAGCTCAGTTTCAACCAGAACATAATTCTAGTCCAAAATTTGGTGGTGTGGTCTTCATAGTTCTCTGAGCTCACAAGTCATAGCCTCTATTAAAAATTAAATTCCTCTGACAGAAGTTTAACAAATGAAAAGTCTTGAAATCATAAGTGCTTCAGCCAGCTGTCTATTATTACACTGAGAGAAGTGTCACTTTACTTGTTGGAGACTGACTGAAATTAATGCTGGCCAGACTTTAATGACAGTCTAATTAATTCAGCACATCTTTTAGGTCGTAAACACGTCTTTTAGCTGTCACTGGTGTGGGCGATCGTGTCATGATTATAAATGACAATCTGTGCACTTTTGCTTTCAGGAGGAAACTTTGCGACGGTGATTAATAGATTGGATTTACTTCTTGGAGATGGCTGAATGATGATACACTTTACAGCGTTTTACAACACTCGTATGGAGAAAGAGAAAGAGAAAGAGAGTGAGACACAGATATTACATGTTTCAAAACTGCTTCCAGAAAATAACATTTGTCATCTTTGTGGTGTCCAAGTGTCTGTTTTTAGGAGACCAAACCCTGCCTCATTCATCCCATGTTATTCTGCTAAAACAAGGGCAGACGAGTTTATGTGATCATTTATCTCATGCTCATGAACTGACCAAGACCATTAACTTTAGGAGCAAAATCATTTTAATTAGGCTCGATTAATTGCTAAAATAATGAATTTGATTAGTTGCTGGAGTATCCATTACTTCAAGACTTCACAAGGACTGATTATGTGGTAGAAATTTTAATGAGCCTGCAGCATAATACAAAAATACACTTGATCTCAAAGGTAATCACTGCAAAAACCTGAAATCCTTTGTGGCACAGGCGCCATTTTCTTGTGTCTTACAATGAGGGTTTTTCTGTTTGCCAGAGGATATTTCTCTATTCTGTCACTGTTTCCGTTTGGAAATCAAAAGACTGGTGTTTGGCTGGCGCGCCATTCTAGTGTAGTCAGAAGAATCTGAATTTGTTGTCCTAGCAACGTCACATTACTGCGATACAGTTTCATTAGGTCTGAATAGGAAATCCATGTGAGCTCAGCTTTATGACCTTGCACACAGGCTTTACGATCAATTCTGGATTAACTATAGTGACTACTCTTCATCCTTCACTGACGGCAGAAGGACTACTAACTAATTTTCTACAGTCCACAAACCTTTCTGCTTCCTTTGAAGCATCTTTCTCATCTTTCTCAACTAATCAGAAAAGTGTTCGTGGAATTGGGAAATAAACTAATATGATAGGTGCACAGGCTTCTTTCGGTAGTTTTAATTTAACATTAAAAACATGAGGATAATTTTAATATCTTTCCCTCAAGATATTGTGAGTCTTCAGAGGTCAGTTATTTATAGTGAGTCTTTAAAGCAGTCTGGCTAAACACTGCTGCCAATAGACCCTTTTAGCAAAGAATCCAATCAATGAGAAAAATCATTCATAATGTTTAATATTACTTTAACAATTTATTTAAAGCGTGTTAATTATAAGAGATTGTACAGTCCCTCTTCAAACACTTTAAATTTGGTTTATTTTTTATTAATTAGAGTTAATGTTCTGATCATTAAAGCCTGCTAATGGCTGTGCGAATTCTGTGAGTCTTCCTCACAGTTTTTCTTTGCCTTCTTTTTAAATGTGCCACTAGAGACATTTTTCCCAGCATTCAAATAAGCTGTATTTATATTTCTTTCTCATGCTAAAAGTAGTGAAGACTCAATATGAAAACTAAAACAAACACAGTGAGCTGCCAGATATTTTTGCATGCTGTGTAGTCTGAGGTTCTCTTGGCTCAGATAAGCACAGTATGCTTGTATGCTTTCATCCAATCATTACTTGGCCCTGCTCTATCAATACTCCTTGGCTGCTATATTTTATCTGTTTCATGTACCCAGAAAAACTGGGTGTATAACACCTTAACTGCACATATCCCTCACAAGGCAATTCAAAGATCTGATTTTGCTCCAGGCTCTGTGACACAGAGGTAATGGGCACTGGCTGGGGAGGATTTGGGGACAAACACAGAATGAAGCAGCGCAAAAAAGATTGAGGTTGGAGGGGAGGAGGCTGAACATTAGGTACCAGTTGCTGCTGACATGACACAAAAGTTTGAAAACCAGGGGCCACACCAAATCCCAGTTGGTCAATGAAGGGCGGCTCGTCCTGGCTGTGGATCTGAACCTTGATGCCTGCTTCGTAGGAGGTCTCATCTGTGGATACAGCACGCCAGAAAATGTAACAACAAGCACCGTTGCTTATGGAAACCCGCCTTTTGGCTCTGGTACTGATACTAAGTGCCCCTAAACCCCATGCTGAAAGCTAATATCAGCGAGATACTCACATGTTAGTGTGTGGAACCGCTATCAAACAGATTTACAACAAACTATTTATTACATGCTGTATACTTTATGAATGTATGGTTCAGAAGCGTTGATGTCTGCCATAAATTGAAGACACTATGTCAGTGGATGCAATTTATTAGACCTGATGTTAGTTGTAGAACTGGAGAAACATATCAAGATAATATTCTATTAAACAAGCTAGTACCTCACTTCTGTGTAGCCCAAATTCTGCAGACATGTAGCAGTGAAGTGAATGAGACAATATTGGGATTTTGTTATCTATAAGTGATATATCCACATGCGATAGGAATGACAAAGGACTAGAAGAGAGATTTCCAGAGTAACCGAACAAGACGGAGGGCTTTTCACAAAAGGGTTGTACAAGCTGCACTGACCTGTCTCTCCCCAAACAGGCAGGTATTCATCCTGCTGAATATCCAACATGATCTCCAAGCCGTTCCCCGTGCCACCTTTTAACGTTGTCAACAATGGGTTGCCATCCAATCCCGAGTTGAATGTGTAGCATTTTCCGTAGCGTGTGTAAATCTGTAAAAAAGAAAAAAGAGAGAGGGAGACAGAAAAAAAAAAAAAAAAAACAGGAGCGTAAATGAAAAGTCAAACCCTTCCCACTGTGCAGTGGTAAATTGTGCACCTGAACCTGGTGTATTACATGTGAGCCTATAATTGTGCAGGACAGCTAATCATTGCAGAGGTTTTGTGATTATCAGAGAAAGCACTACCGGCTTTAAACAGGCACCTGGCTCTGATTTGAGGAATTAATGAGCTTCCCTTAGTAGCAGCAGCAGCAGCAGCTATCAATCTTTACCCAATTTCACTCCACAATTTCCCCTGAGTAACTTAGAGTGAATGTACTAGTTCGCCGTCATTAAATAACAACCATCTGAGGTGGAAGCTCTCTGGACACACAAACAATCTCTAAATTGCGTTTGTTAAAGACATTTGTGTGTCTTGACTTACAAACTTCTTAAGAGACCAAACCTGTGCCAGTAAAGCTCAGTGGTACTTAACGTTTGATGTGCAATCACTACACTAGGTTTGCTCACACCAAATATCTTTCAGATTTAATTAATCCAGTTGGCTTGAGTTATTTATTTTCAGCTTTTGCTTCAGCACTCACAGTTGACAGATTTTTTTTATATCTTTGAGTTTATGGATTCTCTCTGTGATTGGAAAATCCTCTATCCTTTGCCAAACAAGTAAAAGTAAATCTGCATCAAGATTAGAAATGGTGACATTTTAAATTCAGGCTGCAGCGTGAATAAAGACTAAGAAAGCTTCAAATTCTGAATACAGCTTGAGGGATTGAGGAAATTCAAGATAAGTCATCAATATTGACATAAGACTACAAAACTGTAGATATGATTGCTTATGCAACACTCTGAGGAACTTCTTCATGCATTTCAATGCATTATAAAAACCTGCAGCCTTAAGAACCTCTACAAACAGCTTACACCTTACACACAAGTACATGTAATGTCTATGTAACATGTTTGTGTTCCCAGCAAACAACTACATATTTTAAATGGGGTGAGTGTGAATAAGACGTTACTGAATATCTAATGTTGTAAATAAATACCGCTAAATTTATAGCAGTGAAATATTCCCCCCCCCCAAAAAAAAACAACTAACTAACTAACTAACTAACAAAAACAACAACAAAAAACTATATTAAAGTTGTTTAAAGTCAATTAACACCAAAATTACATCTGAGATATCAACCCTGAATTATCTTCTGGAAATTTCAGTAAGGGGAATTCAAACAACATAAATGGAGATAGTTTTTTTTTGTTCACGTTAAATATTTCAAAGCAATAAATGCAGTGGTAATTTCAACATGAATTACCCATGGTTAATTGTCAGAATTAGCTATTCACTTGCTCTTAAAATCCAAATTATTCCGACTTTTTTTGCTTCTATATAAAACCCCTACAGTAATTCTAATTGGTACATTGAGCCACACTTCCTACATTAATAATCATGGCTGTCCAAATATCCTTACTTGGCAAAGAGAAAGAGGTCATACTGTGACAAAACAGCTGTCAGGTGGGATATTTTTCCAGGCTTTCTCAACAGTCTGGCTGTCTGTATCTGTCCTCACCACATTCCTAAACAACAAGTAATGCCAGGAAGGAAAAGGGATGTCATCTGATGGTTAATGTTCACAACTCAGTGTGGTGAGGTCATGGTAAGAGGGCTGCTGGCAAAAACTCAACCAGCATGGCAAAGCTGTTCTCAAGAGATCAGAGTCAGTGTTCCATGCCCAGACTCAGAGAGACTTACATGCAGCTCAGACAGATAAGACAGCTCTTTGGTCCATTCCCCCTGCTGGCTATATAATGAGGTCTGGAAAGTAACTAGAAACCTGTTTTTAAAGATTCAGATTTAAGTTTAGATAAAACAGGAGCTTCTGTGCAGTCACACCACAGCCACACCGTGTGTTGCTTAAGTAGCGAGCGCACAACGCAGTTTAAATCCAAATTATGACCCCCAAACTGGCTGTGAAGAGTGATTTTAAAGATTGTGGAGGCTCTGTACTAGTTTGTGCAAAACAGGGAAGCCGACATGGACAGCTGAAGTTGAAGTTGTCCCAGCTACATTTTTTTTCTGACTGCAATGAAGATGCTCAGATCTACAAATGCAAGAGGTTGAATGTGATGCCAGTGACAGGTCAGTGTTTTAAATCTACAAGCATGTTCCCAGATTGAAATGATTCACAGTGCTGTATACATAAATGAGTCACTCTGCATGCATACTTCTCACTGCAGACGTTTCTCCGTTCAGCCCCTTAAATATTATCTGACGTCATAAGCTGTCAGTTTGTATTGAAAGTATTTGATAGAAAGACTTCCATTCAGAATGGTGCGACTATGGTTTGCAAATGTCATCCACTTCCTCCAAGCAGTATTCAGTTCTTACTCACAAATGAATGGGTGTAAGACTTACGTTTGGCGTTTTAAATGGGAAACTCAGCTGCACACCATATTCTCACGCATGCCCTCCAGATGTTTAATTAGAGAAGCTAAAATTTTAATTTGAACTGACTACCAGGGTCTGAATTATTAATTCTCTAATTTTTCTTCCTTAATATTGTTGTCACAGGTTATAAAGAAGAAGTGCGTTAAAACAACCGGCAAACTCAAGAACTTGACAGGGTGAATATAACCGAATGAGTAACTGTAAAGAAAAAAGCTGTAAAGAAGACAATAAGGTAACTGATGATGACATGACATTGATTTTCCACCGCAACATGAAGATAACATTGTATTTGTTTCCTTGAGTGACTTTTTTGAAGACATCAAGTTTAATAAGGGTAAAGCTGTCATGTCTGAGAAGTAGAAACAGGACAGGCTTGTTTGCAGCTTTGAAACATCAACACTTTATAACACCCAGAGAGAATGGCTGCTATGGGTGCGTCGTCAAATGCTTACATGAATTATTAATATACCTCGCAAACAACATTCAAATCCACACCTGACAAACACCATCTTTCTTTCTGTACGTACAGTGCTGAAGTTTTTGTAGGTGCAGGTTTCCCCACGGAACCTGCACTCCAGCAGCATGTCCTCCAACTGGTGACCGAGGCGTCCCATCATCTCGGTGGTGTTGATGCGGTAATCAGGGTGCGGATTGTAGTTGTTGAAGTCCAGCAGGCTCAGGAGACCCTGCTTGGGGCTGTCTTTAAGGATGGACAGGCTCCTCTCCATCACTGTGTGATTAGGATACATGAGGTCCATCCAGTAGCCGCTGTGATACAAGTCATCCTTGGTCAGAGTGGATACACGGAACACATTTTTATTGCAGAAAGTAACAGCTGGGAAGGACATGTTGTGAGCCCACACCATGTAGATCTTCGTGATAGCAGGGTAGGACATCAGGTAGAGGATTCGATTCCAGGACCAGGTGATGAGGAGACTGAAACAAACAAAGAAGGCCATGATCCAGACGACTCGCTGCGGTTTCGACTTGTCCGGCGAGAAGACAAACTTCAAACCGTGGATCTTGGTCTTCATTATGAAACCCACCGTGATCTCTTTCCATGTTGGTTTAAGCGAGCTGGACTCAGTGTTTTGGAGAGTGGTCTCTTGGGCATCATTCTGTCTGGGTGGCCCCAGGGCGACTGATTCGGTTGTGGGTGCTTCAACCATAATTGCTTGTGTCAAGGCAGGCGTTCTTTACCAAATGTTGTTTCTTAGTATCCCACCCTGGACATCTCCAATTTACACACAGTGGCTTTTTCCACAACCATCTCCAGGTTTATGTATCACAAATTCCGGGTAGCAGCAACTTGAGTCCTACTGTGCAGCTGTCCCACTGTTCAGGCTTGAAATTTCTTTACCGTGAAGATATAAACAAAAAGGAAGTGAGCTCCTTGGGGGAGGTAAAATTGATTTACATAATGATTCCTTTATGAGGAAAACAGCTGAATCACTCCATTAACAAAAAACATCAAGCGTAACCATCAACAGTCCTTCATCAATAGATAAATGGACGTGATAATTGCAAATGTAAGCGACGACTTCACTCCCAGAGGCAATCACTTTGAAAATCCGGAGAGGCTTACCCCTGTTGCTCAGATCTTTCACTCCTCCATCTCCCTCTCCAGTGCCAGACAATACTTGCAGATTTCGGTGGTTTCTCTCTTTGTGCCGTAGCTGCCCAGAACCCAACTCCTCCCTTTTTCCACAGATTGAAGAGATGCTTTTTAGTCTGTTGACTTGCAGCCTGCAGAAAGGAATATAAGGCTTGTTGCCCCCCTACACACTCTCTCTACAGTCGAATGGAGAATGAGGTGGAGCCAGTGGATGAAATTGTTTTCCTCCGGTGATGAAGTAGACCTCCAATGGTAAAGAGAGGCGGGGGGAAGGTATCAATCAAAGTAGAAATAATTGTGATGAAGAAATTCTGCAACGATGAAGTCTGGAATTCTTTAATAGTGAAGAATCTGCAGCTTGCTCATGGATCAATATATCTATATAATTGATAACTGAAGGGAGCCAACTATTTGGAGAAAAACACTGCAAAATCCCTTTCAAAATGTGTTAGAAATATCCGTTACGGCACCTTTTCTAGTTCTTCTTTTCTGTCAGTATCAAATATAATTTCACAAATGCAGTGTAATGAGGGCTGACATCCTGCTGCATGTAGATGTGGCTCTGGCTGATATTAAAGGTGCTTTGCTCCGTTTATGTGAGACTCAGTGGATTCTGTTTGGCAGAAAGCTCAGCTTCATACTGAGACTATTTTTTTTTATTATGTTAGCTGGAATCTTTTCAGTCTGTAATGTGAGTATTGGCTGGGTAACCTGATCACAGCTGTGGCGATACATGGTTGTAAAAAATAATTTTAGAAAGTGAAAAATAGCTTTAAATGTGAGATTGCTCATGTACTTGGAGGAGAGGGTATAATTTACAAGTTCAGATGGAATGAACTGGACTAAAATAATTGGATTCGACCTAGTTTAAATATAACAAAAGGGTGGAAATGACTCATGGGCATCTCTGGGCCCCCGTCTTACTGACTGGAGTGAATGTTAAGAGACCAGAATTGAATTCTGAATGCATCAATTGATTATGTTTTAATGTTGCCCTATTTCAAAACATAGAAGAAAAATATGCAAATTCAAACCGAATACAAATGTGAATATGGGAATAGTTCAACATTTTGGAGAATTACTGAGAGTGAGATGAGAAGATCGACAACACTTCTTTAAAGTGTCAAACATCACCACTATTTTCTTTGGAGTTCTTTTTGTATTAACATACATTGTAAATAAGTGAGAAGTAAAAACAAAAGTGAAGGTATGAATAAAAGAAAATAGGCTTTTGATTACTGTGTGAAATGGAATTGGATGTCATTATTACAAACTGTTAGAAGGGTTTGGGAATTGCACATTAACTTTAACAAGCCCATAGTCATTCAGTAGGGAGAATGAATATTATATATAATATATTATATAAAAATGCGACCCAGATTTTTCTGCTTTCAATAGAACTATAAAAAGGTCAAACTGTAGACTTGTGGTAATTATGAGTCTCTCTCTGTTCCTATCAGCACATTTGTTTTTTAACTAAGATGGAAAACTTAATTTAATGAAATGATTGTTTCAAAACATTTAAATTTATCTCTAGGCAATTTAATTATAGCACAATTTATTAATTCAATGATACAGTTTTCTCTGTGTTCAAAAGTTGTGGTACTAACAGTCTGATAACATTAATGAATGTCTGAATACTGAAAAATAAAGAGAAGCAAAAGCAACAGCTTCAATACTGTGGTAATAGTTATTTTTCCTCTGTGTGCTTTCAGGGCTTTCCGACAGCAAAACAACAGAATTAATTGCCTGGATCCAGTTCCCCCAACAGCTACTGTATGTCATGTCCGCACCACGCCTATTTTTTTCTGGCTTCCAGACAATACAGATGCCTCGCATTGCTTTCTTTTTAGCCTTATGCTCCAACCTCTTTGTTCTCAAACAACTGGGTGGGCTTTTTTTAAATTGTAGAATTAGGGACTATCTTTTTGTTAGAGAAAGATCCAATCAAAGTGAACAATAGCCTCTATTTCGGCATCAACAGGGATAACTACCTCAGTTTCAGACCCAATAACAAAGAATAACAAAGAAGACAAAAATACTAATGCTCCATGAGTGGCAGGCAAGTACATAACTCTAACAATACCACCCTATCAGAGTTATAGCTGACTGCCTGGTTTCTCCAATGATTGACCAGCAGCATTGATTTCCTTTATTCTCGGTTTCTTTGGAAACACGTCAATAGATATGAGGGACAATTTACTGGTGAGTTAAATGCTTGAGCTCATTTGTCCTATACAAGCTCAGTGGAGGCGTGAGGGGTACAGCTCTCCTGGTCTCTGAATCATCACTTGTCAGCAGTTTGATCCAAAGCTCAATTTCATTACTCCAAGCTCCAGAGGTTACACAGGCAATGCATGACAATCATCATTACGCTTTTTCGCGATTTCGGTCTCCGACAGCTGATTTCTGGCCAATGGACTTTCATTTCAGCTTTTTATTGTGTGGTTCGTTTAAGCACAAGTATGTTTTAAAGCATCTTAATGGAACTTTTGATTTGACCCCTCACTCAATTTCTTTCATTTTACACTTTAAACATTTAGGTCTAGACATTTGTAGCAATGTCGATAATTGTTTCTGGTACTGTCTGTGTTCTGTACTTATTTTAGTGTTATGTTTGTACCAATATCTTATGCTGTATTCCAGTTTCTCTTGCAAAAAAGATTGTCATCTTGCTGAGATTAGAAGATTACATAAAGTTTACTATTAAAGTTTACAATTAAAGATGAAAAGATCAGTCCTCAAATGATTAGTCGATAGAAAAAGAATGTGTATTTTGACAATCAATTCCTTTTTTTCCAGCAAAAATACCCCACATTCTTTCATTTCAGACTCTCAATTGTTAGGATTTTCCCATTTTTCTTTGTCTTAACCCTGCTGTGACTGATTGTCTGGCCACTAGGGGGCACAACATTTGACATATTTTAGGTTGATATGGCAAACTTGTTAGCAAATACCACAATTACTTACACATACAGATTACTTATTTGATAGGTCAAAATAGAGAACACAGTGACCATTCAGAGTGATTGATGTGAACTGCTTTTCATCCCCAAAAGTGGAAATACCATGTATGTAAACCTTTAACCTACATTAATTGATTTCTTTGCCCTCTTAGGGCAGTGCAACAAGCTTTAAACAAACAACTCTGACATTATTATAAAGTTGATGTAGAGAACGTGTTAGCAAACACTTGTCTATTTACACATCCAGTGTGTAAACGATGTGGAGCAACATTAGCATTCATTTGTCACGTACGTCTCCACCTGCTGAATGTAAGTTGAATATTTATTCTCCTTGCAGCTGTTTTTGGGCTTTATAAAGTCTTGAGAGAAATATCTGTCTTTCTAGCTGCTAAATGCTTGTCGTTAACTTTGTCTGTTTGCCATTTGGTGCTGAGCAGGTAGTGTACAGTGGGGTTTCAGAGCAGCCGCCTGATGCCACTGATTAAAGTGGAGAAAGTGAACCAAAACAATAAAGTTGAATTACGCTAAAACACTCCTTAGAGAAAAGGTCAACTGTTGAGTGATATTTCTCTGCGGGTTTATCACTACAAGTGAATCTTTTCAAGTCACGCACAGTAATTTTTTCCACTGTTACTGTAAAAATATTGATTAGAGCAGCTTAATGTTTAAATATTGGACAACCTGAAAAAAGTCTTACCAGTGTATGTTTTTGTTTTCAACAGAATCAATGATGTGCTGGGGTATAGAAAAAAAGAACAAGGTAGTGAACTGCTTTGTTTGTGCAAGAATTCTGTATTTACTATTCAACTGTGTTATTGGAAATGCAACATGACCGTATAGAGCAGCACTGTATAAGAGTATTGGAGTATTTCCAGTCTATGAAACAACAAAGCTTTCAAATCTATAACACTCTGCACTGCAATATTACACAACTTTTCTAATATGGTTTACACTTAGTCTGACTAACTTTTTAAAAACTGTGTTTATTTGTGAAATCATTTTGCAAAATCATTAATTTAATTAAAATATTGCTACTAAGACAGAACTGCAATCACTTTGGAATATAAAGCGCTCCAGGCAAAAGTTAATGATTTTTCCTCTGTAAAATTGCTATCCTCCTTATTGAAAACACATTTTTGCTGCTTGCACATTTCCATTGTTATCTTCCAGGTTATGCAAAAACATTTAATCTTTGTCTCAGTATTCAAGCATGTAATTAGAGGATCATGGTGTAATAAAATGTACCAAATTGAAATGAGCAGTTGATGGCTGTTTGATGGAAAAGTACAACTAGTTGAAAGAAGTATTTTTTTTTCAGATTTATACATTTATTGACCAGCTTTAAGACCAGCTCAGTGATCCCCGAGACTGTCAGGGAATGACACTAACCATCCTCTTTCATGTCAAAGCCAAGCTGAACCCCAGAGGTCTCATTAGAGGAGGAGCAGAGTTTAGACTGAGTAAAGGGATGAGCTCCTTCAAGGGCCAGTGAGAATGTTCAACACCAAATGAAATACTGGCAGCAATTAGATGCACATCAGAAAGGAACGCAGCACAGACAGAAGAAGAAGACAAAGATAAAAAAAAAGAATAGCAGCCATAGCCGACATTAATGTCCAGTTACTGTAGAGCTAAGCTCATTAGTTGATTAGTCGACTAGTAGACTGACACAAATCAATAGCAGTATTTAGTAAAACTGTCAAATTTAACTGGCCCTAGTTTCTCAATTGTGAATAATTGGTGTGTTTCTTAATCTTAAACACAATATTTGGGGTTTTTGAATTGCTGGACAAAGAAAACAAGCAATTTGGTAATGTTAATTGTGATGGAAAATGTTGACATTTTATAGGCCAAATGAATAGTTAATTGAGACAATAATTTAACAATACCAAAAATAATTGTTGGTTGCAGTCATTTTGCTCACAGAACAAACATAGAAATAGGGCCGCAAGTAATTATTTTCAGTGTCAATTAATAGACAAAACATTTTCAATTATGATTTCAAATTCCTTATCAGCCAACTATCAGTCCAAAACATGAAGATATTCAGTTTAATATCAGATATAATGAAGAAAAACAGCTAGTTATCATTTAATAATTGCAGCTCTATATAGAAATCTTCCTTTTGTTTGCTTTGTACTGTGTTTTACATTGACAGTCATGTGGCTGCAATACATTTGATTAATCTATTCAATGATTTCAAGTTTGAATGAACTAATCAAATGAACAGGCACAATAATTGGCAGGCATACGGTATCCAGTTCTAGCTGTGAAATTTTTTAGATATAAATCAATAAAGTTCTGTAATATTTAAAGCTTTAATTAAAAAAAGCTGATTTGTTGAATAATAAGGTAATATTCCACATGTATTACATCAGACTTTCTCAACCGTGAGTTCAGGATTCCTAATGGAGTTACTTGATATGCAGCCTGCATGCTACACACAGAAACTTCACAACTGGACTCCCTTGAAAATTCCAGATCTGCCAGAGAATGGCAGATAACTGCTGTGTTTCACTGTGTTTTCAAAATGACCAAACAAATGCAAATCTGAAAGAGACAGACAGTTAGAGCCAAAACATTTGCAATCAGGGATGTCACTCTGCTGGACGGGCAGCTTCTTTAGCAGAGGGAGACATCTTGTGGCCTGCCTCTAAATGAAACTAACCTCTTGCTGCCTTGCAAAGCAACACAGCCACTCTGTATGCTGCACAAGTAATGCAAGGGAAGCAAGAATTGATTTTTAGCTAAGAGAGGCTTATACTTTGAAATACCTCATATAAAATTCATCAAAAAGGGAAAACATTGGTATGTACTTTGTTAAGAAAAAATAAATAAATAAGCCCCAAAGCTGGTTTGAAGGAGAGTACGTTGACTGTGCATTTTATTGGTCATAAAACAATTTTTATTGTCTCTTTATTGTTTGTTTCTCAAAGAAGTGTTGTATTTTTAAATTGCTGCAGCATGTTTTTCAGGTTCTGTGAAGGAAACTGAAGGACCTAGTGTTGCTTATTTGAAATCTACAGTAATTGTAAACATCTCTGACACAGCACATGTACAATATATCCAACTCTGGCAGGACAGGTGGAGGGCAGATGCAGTCTATATCAATAAAAAACAGATGCTGCTGGCTACACCTGCCGTCTTGTTCCCTTGTTCCATTCCAGGCAGAATCCAACTAAAAAAAACCTAAGTGCGCTGTCACTCAAGCTTTCAGTCTGCAGCCCGCAGTCACACTTTGATAAACTCACTCCTGAAATTTCCTCACCGGTGCTTTCATTTGCAAGGATAATCTTTTTTTTTTTTTTTTAGCATGTTCTCATCTTGTTTGCTCAGCTGGAGGCTTTTGGTATCCGTTCCTGAATCCATTTTGCCCACTTGCCCAAAAATTAAGCAAAGTAAGCACTTGCCAAAGGCCTAAAAGTGCCATCGAGTAACAGCATTCTAACAAGAGTTTCTCCTGTGTTAGGTGAACGTATTATGAATTCTAATCATAACTCTTAACATCAGCAAGACTACACAGACTATCCCTCTTTCTTACATTCAAACAAATAGCATAACAGGTTCTTTAACACTTGAAAGTGGCATTACATCATCACTCATATTTCCAAAAACTGATTTCCCGTTTCGAACAATCTGTCATACCTGGCTTCCCAGGTACAGTGAGTCGTGGTGTCGAGGGAAATCTCAGTTTACTTGAAAGAAGATAGTGATACAGTACTTTAGAAGGTGCAAGGCCTTGCTTTTATTGGCTAAGAGAGCAGGATATAGATCCCAGAGGCCATTAGTGGAAACAGAAGCTAAATATGGGCATTACAGGTAATTTAA